AGCTCCGAGGAGCGATGAACTCGTTATATTGTACATACCTCATTTTGACGCTCTTATCCTTTGTCGTGACAAATCCGAATGCACTACTGCACAGCACGAAACAATTGTTCACTTATAAAATGCATATTTTCACAAACACAAACGAGCATTTCCGTATTATCGCCTGATATACACGTCTGGGACACTTTCGGTAGCCATTTTTGTCAAAAAACACTTTTTACGTCCCGATTCCCGATTTCGAAAAGCTGTGAGCGAGATGACGCTAGCGCCGCGCCGAGACAACGAATGAAAATAAATGGAACATTGAACCGGGTAGTGGTGGGCGTTGAATGAACGGACTGGTCCAATAGACCGGTCGACGGTCCATGAACGTATCAACTGTTCACGTCTGTCGGATAGACTAGTTCAATGCGTAGACAACTTCCGATGAGTCGACGACGCGACGGACAATACTAATACCTAAAATACCATGGACGCCTAATACCAAGAACTACGACAGATAAGCACACAATAATTGTAAACAAAAAGTTTTTAATTTTATTACTTAGAGGTTAAGTTTCATTTTCAAATAAACATTTCTATACTAATGACTTTTTATTTTCAAGCGAAATTTTAAATTTCGAGCTCGTACCTCTAAAAAAAGGACTTAAATAATATTTTTTGTAAAACTAATTAATTAAACTTTATCTTCAAGCATTAAGGTTTATAATAAACTGAAGTTTTCGGTTCGATCAACCATACGACTAGATATGGAACAAAAATACGTCACTCAAATGGCAACGTTTTTCTAGGAAATGTAGCGATTTTTCTAAGAAACGTGCACACGCATGTAAACATCTACATTTGCAATGCGAGCGACGTATTTTATTTTTGTTTTTTATCTAGTCGTATTCGTCTTGTTGATCGAAGCTTGTGCGTATAGTGAACTTTGCTTTGCATTAATTTCGTGTGTACTCTGTAACTGTAAATAAATAGTGTAGCGCGCGACATTCAAAAAATATCATTCGGTTAGCAACTAACGTTCGGGTATCCCCGCGCGCCCCGTCAGTCTCCGCCGGCCGCGCGACCGAACGAACCCGAGCAGCGCCGAAGCTGAACGAATGAGTCCGGTAACAGTCCGACGATCCGACATACGATCGCGTGTCGCGCCAAAAATCTTTATTATTGTTTGTTTTCAATGTTTTGGGCAAGTTTTTATTAAGGAACATTGTTACATAGTGTAGTGTGGCAAGTGTTAACTGTTGACTGAACCTTTGAGCCGATAATTATACGTTTGTGTGCTAAAATCCGTGGCGTTATTGAAACCCCTGTCCCGCCCTGTGATCATTTCCACTCTGAAGACCAGTAGTAAATTAGTGTAGTGTATATTTAGATATTAGGGTAATAGTTATATTACAGTGTAAAATAAAAGGACATACCTAGAAATAATGTCAGGCCGAAGCGAATTGTGGCACCATTTTGAAAAAGATGCTGCTAGCGGGAAAGCAATTTGTAATGTGTGCAAGGAAAAACTTGCATACAAATCTTCTACCGCAAATTTAAAAAGTCACCTTAAACGAAAACATATTTCCGTTTTCTCCGGACTCCAGTTAATAAATCAACCGCCAGCAAACCTGACTGTGCAACAAGCGGATGTATTGGGTGACTTGGGTGCGAGTTCGACATGTAGCGTACCTAGCACTAGCACCGCCAGCACCAGTACCAGTACCCATGTTCAGGATAAAGTGGAGTCTCTTGCAAAACGCCAAAAAATTATGGATACTTATCTAAATAAGAAGATAAGTAATGAACAAAAAAAACAAATAAATCATGATTTATTAGATCTTTGTGTGGACAGTTTTCATCCATTTTCCATCGTTGAGGAGCGTGCATTCCGTAAATTCTGCCGGTGGATACCCGGTTACCAACTGCCCACCAGAAAAACACTATCCAACTCCATAATGCAGGAAACTTATACAAAGCTTTTTGATACTGTTCAAAATCAATTAAAAAAAGAAGTCCACAGCATTTGTTTAACTGCCGACATGTGGACGTCATTGAAAACTGAGAGCTATCTCGCACTGACCGGGCACTACCTGACGGATTACCTAGAATTTAAGACTGTACTTCTAGGTTGTTGTCATTTTGAAGGTCATCATACGTCAGAAAATATCGCCTTTGAAATTGAGAAAATAATAAATAAATATGATTTAAAACATAAAGTTAATTTCATGGTTACAGACAACGCAGCCAACGTTGTCAAGGCAGTCAAAGAAAATTTAGGCTGGAAGCACTTTGGCTGTTATGCTCATAGCCTTAATTTAGTGGTCGAGAGTGCACTGCATCAAATAAAGCCACAGATTGACAAGGTTAAACGTGTAGTAGCACATGTGAAAAAAAGCACTGTCTCATCAGAAAGGCTACAAAAATACCAGGCTCAATTAGGATTAGAACCTAAACGTTTAATCCAAGCAGTTGAGACTCGGTGGAATTCCACATATTTCATGTTAAAGCGTTTCGTGGAGCTGGAAGATGCTATGCGGGCAACGTTGGGTTTCGTCGATAGACATCTTCCAGTCATTAATCCTGATGACTGGACTTTGTATAAACAACTGTGTCAAATATTGCGCCCCTTTGAAGAAATAACTTCTTCCATGAGCGGAGAAAAATACATAACAGGAAGTTCGGTTATTATTGTCACACGATGCTTAAAAGAAGCATGTCAGAAGCTGCTAGACCGTTCTGATCTGGTATCAGACGCACGCGATACTGTACTGCTTCTTCAGCGAGGTTTAGCAGAGCGGTTCAAATTAATTGAACAAAGTGGAACATTTGCTTTGGCCACATTCATGGATCCGCGTTTCAAAATGCAGGGCTTTTCGGACGCCAACGAAGCCATGAAAACTAAAGAAAAGGTCCGAAAATTAGTGGCCTCTATGATCAGTATGTCAGAAAACGCTGCAACACCTACAGTTACTCCCGAAACAACAGAAACCGATCACGATGAAGAGTTTAGCCCATGGAAAATATTTGACAAGATGGTAGCAACGAGCGTTGCTCAAGGAACGCCACTTTCGAGAGCGATAAAGGAAGTTGACATGTACCTTTCCGATGAGTTGTTGCCACGGAAAGATCAGGCAGGTAATTTAACATGCCCTCTGGAATGGTGGAAACAACACCAATATGTGTACCCTAATTTAAAAAGGATATATGTTACGCAGTGCAACATAGTGGCCACATCCGTTCCTTGCGAGCGGATGTTTTCTAAAACTGGACTTATCTTAAATGAAAGACGCACAAGATTAACCACCAGTAAAGTAGAACAAATAATGTTCATAAATGTCAATTCTACAAATGAAAGGTTTAAGGGCTTTGAAACCAAATAATATATGTATACATGAAGAATTGATTTGATTGTAAATAATAAACAAATTAAAAAAAGTAAGAAAAATATATGAAAATAAAAACAAAAATATATAAAAAAAATAAAAAAGACAAAAATTTAAAAAAAATATATAAAAAAAGGAAACAATCAATCAATCAATGTAAATAAAATCAGTTGATCTTCTAAATACGCCTGAATTTTATTCAGCCAGTCCTAAGCCTGGAAAAAGTATGAAGGGAAGATCAAGAAACGATGGTTTCTCTAATTACAATAACCAGTGCAATAGGCAGGTACATCGAACGCAGAACTGTTTACATAGTACAATCAATGTATTACATTCAGTCCACTCGACGTCGCGTCGCGTCAGTCGCTCGCTTGTCGACACGACCCATCGTTCATAATGTACGAGACCGTGAACCGTCTATATTTTGAACCGGTTCATCGACTAGTCGATGAACGAAAATGAACGGTCTAGTTTCGTTCACGCTAATACCGTCAACGACCCATCTCTAGAACCGGGTGCTCGCAAATCCTAGTGTATTGCAGTCCGATTCACACCAGAAGATATAACTAAGCTTCCACTGAAAGCTTCCACGTCAAAAAATACGCGTATGTTGTCAACCGAAGTTGCCTGCAGCTTCGACTTCACTGGACGAATCGGAACTCGAATTTACATTTTTCGTCCTTATTCGGTATTTCTACCTTACTTGGGCGGATAATATCCTATTCCAGTGCACGCACCAATCACTACTTAGAACTATGTTTCAAAACGATGCTACTACTGCCATCCCGTAGCTCTTTGAAGAACTTTTATAACACACTGGCAACACGCCTACAAACTTCAGTTTCCATAGTATTTCTGTATTTGTACTAAAGTCTTAGTGAAAATATGCAATTATTATTTACTCTTATTTTTATTATTTTAGTTACTATTTCCTTGGCCTATTATTGTAAACCGTTAAGTAACATTTTGACACGAACTTTCGTAAACAAAGAGATCGTATATTGTATTTTCAAGACATACAATACCTATTGACTCTAGTGATGATAAAACATACTAGTAAACTAATATTAAGTATAAGAAATTTAATCGACTAAACAAAAAATTCTCAACAAATTAAATTAAAAAAGAGTCTAAGACGTAATTCACCATGTGATAATCATTTTACTTATTCTTTTAATTTTATGACCATAATATTATGAACTTGTTTTGAAATCGCTACGTAAAATAAAATATAAAAATGAAACAAGTTCGTATTTTATGAAAAAATTAACCAAATTATGGTTTAATTTATGTATGCTTTTTGATTTATATCAAGATTTATGAATACACGAGGACGAGCCATAAGGCCATGGCACCTAACATTATTACAGTAAAAACTCTAAAATTAAAAACTCTGTAATCATGTTTGAACTGGAATTTCTAAGTTAAGCACAGCCATTTGATTTCAATAAAATAAATTAATAAAATCGTTAATCGATAGACAAAAAATCGACTAAATAACTCTTACTATTTACCGTGCCGTTGCCTAGTCAACCAAGTATTTTGACAGTTGAAGTGACAATAGTTTTCGGGGAAAAAAGTCAGCCTGTTTTTCTTTTGATAAACAGTTCCTTTTTCGAAAACTTAAAAATAATGGTGGGCGCAATGCCTGTTAACTTAATACCAAAATTTTGTAACGGTACCATGGACAGTCACAATGGTACCGAGGATAACGAAATTCAAGTGCACATCGGTAGTCGCGTTAAGAGTACCGATGATTTTGGTACGGTAAAGTATATCGGTGAAGTGCACGGATATAAGGGTGTTTGGTACGGAGTTGAATGGGATGACCCAGCGAGGGGTAAACATGATGGTTCTGTGGACGATGTCCAATACTTCAAGACGTCTAAACCAGGCGCTGGTTCGTTTATTCGTCCGAACAAAATTTCTCCGTTCAAAACTTGTGCTGAAGCTATCAGAAAGTACTACGGTGATCGCGAGGTGAGTCATAGGCGCAGCTTCTCAATTCTCAAACAAAACAAACTTTTTAAAATATTTTCTTACAACTTCATTGCTAGTGCACAGGCATTAGGTCATTCCACCTACATAAAAACTTGGCAGTATGAGTGGGTTGTGTTTTTAATCTGTCACTGATGTCAAGGCTGTTCTTTTTGTTTGGATTGCTTATTTAATTCTCAATGCAGCATTTAATTGATAAAAGATAAAGATAAAGATAAAGATGTATTTATTTCTAAGTACATGGTACACTGAGATCTTACATTAAATATAGAAACACATATACTACCATTTCTGGTGTAGAAATATTAAATAAGCTAAGTCCATGCAAATTTTAGACATTACAATAATCTTCATTTGATACAATTTATTCGTTAAAAAAAAAACAATAATACATTTTTCGTCCAAATTGTTATGTCAAAATATAATTACGAAACAAAAAAAATAAAGAAAATACATGTCATAGTTACTGGTTCCAAATTAAAAAAAAAAAATAATATATATATTAATCATAATGTCAATATTCTAATAGCATCAAATATTAATTACAAGGTCAAAAAGGATGATTTAAAAATTCGTTAACGGAGTAAAAACACATGTCCAGGAGCCAAGTAAACATTTTACATTTGAATTTATTAATTGGTAAATTTTTCAATGCAGGTGGTAGTTTATTATAAATTTTTATTGTCATGCAACTGGCATTTCTACTAACAGTTGCAATCTTTGAGAAGGTACTAGTAATTTACCGGCATGTATTTTTTCAGTCTCTCAGAGATTTGTTCATCCAATATAAATAAATGCGGATGTCTCCTAACAAATAGACAAACCCAAAAATATATAAAACAAGGGAGTGGAAGAATCTTAAATTTTTTAAATAAAGGCTTACAATGATCCAAATAATCTGCTCCACTCATGGCTCTAATAGTTTTTTTTTTGTACTAAGAATGCTCTTTCTATATCCACTGAATTACCCCATATGACTAGGCCGTATCTCAATACCGATGAAACATAACCATGATAAGCGCTTAGAACTGTTTGTTTACTGGATACTAGTCTTAACTTCCGGATAGCATAAACAAACCTATCAAGCTTACCGCATACCCTTTCCACATGTTCTTTCCAGTTCAATTTATCGTCAATAACTATTCCTAAAAACAAAGTTGATGGTACTGGTTGAAGAATAGCTTTATTATATTTAATTGCCGTCGGGATTATTGACCAGTTACATGTTTGAAATTGAATTATTTTAGTTTTTTCAATATTAACTTGTTATTATCCGATAGCCACTTTATCACGTTGATTAATTCATTATTAGCATCAATTTCTATGTCATTTTTATTAGAACATTTTATTGTCAGAGTAGTATCATCGGCAAATTGAGTGCAGCCACATTTCAAGCATTTCTTAAGATCATTAATAAATAGTATAAATAATAGCGGACCTAGTACGCTACCCTGCGGTACTCCGAAATTATTAACTTTTAGTTCTGAACTATATGTCATTTTAGTATTATTTTCTATCCTAGAGATGACAGTTCTTTGTTGGCGATTAGATAAATAACTTTTAATCCAATCATGCGCCTTACCCCTTATGCCATACCTCTCCAGTTTGCAAAGTAACCGCTCGTGTGGTACAAAATCAAAGGCTTTGCTCATATCTAAGAATATAGACAAAGTAGACTGTTTACTATTAAGAGCTTCAGTAATTTGTTTCACTAAATAAAAACAAGCTAGGGTGGTTGAGCTATTTTCCTAAAACCAAACTGATTCTCAACAATTAAATTAAATTTAGTCACAAAGCTATTTATCTTGTCATGCATTGCCTTCTCAAATATTTTTGAAAAGATTGGGATCAGTGTAATGGGTCTATAGTTGCCTACATCAGTACAGTTCCCTTTTTTGAATAGTGGTTTGATTATAGACTGTTTTAACCTATATGGAAAAACACCTTCTTCGAAAGAGAGGTTAATTAAGTAGCTAAGTGGAGTCGCTATAAATTTAGCGCTTAATTTAATTATTTTAGTGTTACCTCATCATATCCAGTCGCATTCGTGTTATTTAATGAATTAATAATTTTGATAACGTCAATCGGATTTAACGGAGTTAGAAATAAAGTATTTATATTATTGTCAATGTCAATGTTGTTTGTGTCATAATTGTCTTTTTGTACCTGTTGTGTCAGTTCAATAAAATAATTATTAAATTGAGTACATATGTCATTAGAATTAGTAATCTTCTTACCATTAAATATTAATTCATTTATAAAGGTGCTACTACTGGGTTTATTTAAGTTATTTTTTATAATTGACCATGTCGCTTTGCATTTATTTTTAGAATTATTAAAAAAAATGTTGTTGTTAATCCTTTGTGATTGTGATATACATTTCTTTAAGATCTTTGTGTAATTGTGATATTTTTTCTTGTGATAACTTTTACTTACAGCATTGAGTTGATATTCGTAGTACAAAGTTCGTTTTTTAATGCATGATATTTTTAAGCCCTTACTTAGCCATTTGTTTTTTATAGGTTTATTGGTCTTCTTAACGAGAATTTCTGGAAAGCATAGTTTATAGAAAAGCGTGAATAGATCGTGAAATGTATTAAAAGCCTTATTGCAGCATGTTTCCTCGTAAATTTCTACAAAACTTAAGGCTGCTAAGCAATTCAAAAACTTTGTTATATTATCCTTATTGTAATCCCTCTTCATATCGTACCAAAATTTTATAGGTTTTGAATTATTATTTGTTGCTTTAATGCAAAAAGTTAACGTTTGACCCGTATCGTGATCAGATAGAGCCAAATTATGAGTACGGCACTTTAGATCTAGCGCTGGAATGTTACTGGCTATTTGATCTATGCTAGTATTTTTTCTCGTCGGCATTCTAACGTGTGTTGATACAATGAAGTTTGCAAAACATAAAATAATGTCTGAGATAAATCAAGTTTGTTTGTTCTCTTCTTGTAGCTAACTTACATACTATGTATGTGTGTGTATGTATAGTGTTTATATTAAAGTCATTGAACCTCTTTAGTTAGCTATACTACCTATATTGCCATTAACTCGTCGAGTACCGTATTTAAAGACAGAATTAAAGAACAATAGGTTGCGGTCACCGGTGACTGCTTGGTGTTTGACAGTTTAAGAGTTGAACTTTTATCCACCTATATATCTTATAAGAAAAACATTCCATTATTTGCATTAAATAACACGAGTAAAAATTCAAGGATAAACTGTTTTAAATCAATATTTATTCATTAACATAATATCTGCAATGCACCACTTTACTTTGGAGCAAAAGATTCAATCAGTAACAATACTTAATAGTTTTTAATAAATTCCTGATACTTCTCATACTAATATGTAACTAGCTGACGTGCAAACTCATTCTGCTTAAATTTTAAACCTTTCCACGTACATTTCAAGACCAAAATTAGCAAAATTGTTTGAGCCATTCTCGAGTTTTAGTGAGACTAACAAACGGAAATTCATTTTTATTTACACTTAATTTTAAAAGGTAGCAGAAGTGTAACTACACTCACATTTAACCTGTAGCATGCCGGAACAGATCTATGGGAGACATAATGTATTTTCTATTGTGTCTCATATACCTTAGAGGTTAACCAGTTTATAATATGTATATTATAGTTAAAATCTGACAAAACATATGACAAGTCCATTTTACTTTTCTAATAAGCATCTCATACCTAATTCCTATTGGAATCTAATCTCATCAACCCTTTACTTAACTCTGAAGACTAATAAGGAACACTGGCCTAATTTTATTTATAAATACTGTCTCAAAAACCGCAATAAAATTGTAGCAATTTGATTCAAGTGTGGGAGAATCTTCTTCGGCACGAATGGCCCAGCTCGACTGGAGTGGTATCTCGGCCTCACAGAAAGGCAATGTGAAACAATGCTTGCATTGTGTTATGGTGCATAGCTTCAGACCATCATATAAAAAAAATCCTAATTCCCAAAAGGCCAGTAACGCTAGGCTACTCATTTAACTCGTCGAGTACCGGTTTTATAGACACAATTAAAGAACAATAGGTCGCTGTCACCGGTGACCGCTTGGTGTTTGACAGTTTAATAAAAAACAACCACTTTTGAAAATAAACACTGAATAAGTTGTTCATAAGGTACCTAGTTTAAGGTATGTTTCTTAATTTATTCCAAATATGCTAAACATAGGCTTTTTTGAAACAACAACATACAATTGTCCATCAGTTATTCACTCAGTCCGTTCCTTCAACTGGTCAAGATCCAAATGGTCACCGGTGACTGCTCTCTACTTATACCATTATAACTTGATCTTATTTCCGATGTTTAGAGACTACTTTTCTACGAACAAATGTTGTTGATTTGTCATAGTTAATCGGACATGTACGAGTTAAAGTTATTAAGCAATTTCCATTCCATAACAGTCCGTATCTCTTTCCAGTGGATACAATTATCTCAATACGATGAAGTGACAAGACGGACTGTAGACGTAACCATTACGTAAGTTCTCTATTTGTTATCCGTAACTTATTTCTCAATTCCAGGATGAGACCGTAGCAGCCCATCGTAGGACTGTCATCAATGAGTGGAAGCGAGAGATGGGTGCACCTTTCATTGAAATGGTCGGCTTTGAGAAAATTCATCAGAAACAGTAAGTAGATAGTTATAATTGGGTACTTTTCTTAATTAAAAATAAATTATTTAGATTGTTTAATACAATAAAATATTAAAAAAATAATCACACTTTCATTAATTTATTTTATGACGCAAATTTTTAAGAAATAAGTACTAGCTGTTTGACTTTAAAAAAGTGTGATGTCACAATTCACAACAATCTCATACAAAATTCACAGTTCGAAAAAAGTTGAATGCGAGTTGAATTTGAATAGTTGTCAAATACCGTATTAATTTTAGATATTTCAAAAATGAAAAATACATGACTTTGTCATGGCATGGAAAATGTTGAGAATGGTTTACGAACTTTTTCTTTTCAATTATCGTATTTTTGTAATGAATTTGTGGAAAACTATGGACAAAATATTGCCTTTATAGTTATTGAATCCTGACGAAATAAATGCGTTTGAATTGAAATTGTACCCGTATTGGAAAAAGAAAGAAAGAAGAAAGAAAAACCATTTATTCTTGCGCAAAACACACATAACATAACCAAAAATAAAATAAAATTAAATAAAAGCTAAAAATATAAAATGAAGTGAAGTCTTGTCCATGGTCCACAGACTTATTCTTTACTGATTGGTTCACTATAGCATACCTAACTTCGGAGTCGCGGAGAACCTAACGGGTAACCGGGGCTCCGGCTCGACGTGCAGGAACGGGGTGGTTTTTAGTCAGTAAGAGTCTGACACTCCCTTCCGCCTCACCCAGGCAGGAGCAGTCATTCGATGATTTTCCCCCCTTAAAAAAAAAAAAGCATACCTAACTGGTAGAACATTGCTCATATGTGGAAAAGAATGAGGGAATGTCAAGAAAAAAGGAGAAAGAATTAATGATAGACAGAAAAGTCAATAAATATGTAACAATGAATTTTATTTATTTACTAGCGGCCCGTCCCGGCTTCGCACGGGGGGACTTAAGATTTTTTACATAGTTTTACGTTTTATTTATATTTATTCTCAGTTTTTTTTTAGCGACCTGCCCTCCGTTGTCGATGATTGAACAATTCAAAAGTTATCTAGAGCAAACTTTTATAAGGATTGAACCATTCATTAAAACGATTGTTATGGGTAAACTATAAAAGGTAGACATATGCTCTCGCGGACTTTTTTAAAAATAATGTTAAGATAAACAATTCATCTATAGAACATTTTTGTATAACTTTAACTATATGCTCAGCGCACGCCACGGAAGGCCTCAGAAACGATACTTTTCCCCCGTTTTTAAAACATTTTTGGTTACTGCTCCACAACTATAGGACCTAGCGTGATATTATATAGCCTATGTTACTTCTGAATAATGCAGCTTTCGAATGGTGATAAAATTATTGCAATCGGTTCAGTAGTTTTTGAGTTTATTCATTACAAACATACAAAAATACAAATCTTTCCTCTTTATAATATTAGTATAGATAGTATAGATTTAAACTTTAATATACAAAAACAACTTTATCCATTGCATTTTCGACTTTATGTCAATACGACAAAGTTGAAAATGTGATAAGGAAAGGAAATCATTTCGGATTTTACCATTTCCAAGCACCAAATGTGTTATTATTTAATTAGAAAGCAATAAATATGTGACAATGATGAATCTTCGAACTGGCATAACTTCTTTATCTTGGATCCTACAACTTTTACGCCACATTAACTATTGCTCCAAATGGTTAGTTCTAACAATACGTACCTTCTTTTTTCGTTGGCCGGCTCTTTCAGAAAGATCCAAAAAGAAGTTACCACGACCTCACAGGAAACTGACGAAAAACAATGCTTGCGTTGTGTTTCGTCGTGTAAGTGAGGTTACCGGAGGCCCAATTACCCCAATCCCTTACCCCCCAATAAGAAAAAATAATAATGTTACTTTAAGTAGATATGGGAGAGCCATGCTTCGGCTTGAATGGGCCGGATCGACCGAAATGATACCGCGGCCTCACAGAAAACCGGCGTGAAACCACGCTTACGTTGTGTTTCGTCGTGAGAGTATCTCCAATTTCCCCAATCCCTGAATACCCAACGATCCTCAAAGTAGTAATCCCCAAAAGTCGGTAAGCCTCTGGTATTCCAGGTGTCCATGGGCGACGCCGATTGCTTACCATCAGGTGATCCGTCTGCTCGTTTACCGGCTTATGCCATAAAAAAAGGAACTCCTTTGGCTTTAATAATGTACAAACCCACTTATAATTCGCTAGTTACATAATAATTCTACTCTACCTAGACTAGACCATACACTATAACAGTATATTTAATCAAAACTACAATTTAGTTAATCTAGCATAAATATGAGTCGCATGTTTACAAATAATATGCGCCGACTGATGAACAAGTAATAACTTATATCTACCTGTACCCACTGTCATGTACTTAGATAACAACACGCGATCGATGTATCATATATCATACATGTAACTAAATATGGTGGGTAACTATGTAGCTTTCCAAGTCTCTGATCAGCATGAATAAGAATGACAATGTTGTAAAATATAAAGATTTATTTACAAATAATATACTTAAAACACATAATTATGAATAAATATAGGTATATAACTTACAACATCATCCCCGAAGGCACGGTTAATGCCACTGTACAACCACTCGTACGACCACTCGGTCAACGAGGCAATTAACTAAAAAATAAAACAGTGAACAAAAAAACTAAAATAAAAATGTGCTATGTTTTTAGGAATACAAAAAATAATTTATCATAAAGAAAGAAAGAAAAGCCATTTATTTTGCTACGACACACAACAACAATTTAGGAACACACAAAACGCCTATGGTGCGTCGCATCATCGTAATTTTTTATTTATTTTAAGTGAGATAGCGGCCAAGCGCCTCCCTATTACCATTTAAATTAAAAGTTGTACTTGGCTGGTACATTTTTTCTTATTTCATATTAATATCAAGTTATCCTCCATGAGACAACTGTTCGGCCAGTTGCAGGCGATCTGCAGCCAGCTATCCAGTGACTCTGCAACATTATTTACATAACATAACATCACGCTTTTATCCCCGAAGGTGTAGCTAGAGGTGCATTACGGCACTTAATACCATTGGACAATGTAACACCCACTTTTCACTATTTATGTCATGAATCCCATGTAATAGGGGGTGAGCCTATTGCCATATACCAGGCACAACTCCAGACTTCCGTGCTACCACTGAGAATCTTTTTAAAACCTAGCAGTACTTTGCCCGAACCGGAAATCGAACCGAAGACCCCTTGCCTGGCAGTCGCACTTGCGACCACTCGGCCAACAAGGCAACTACAATTTCTAACCAAAATCCTTCAATAATTCCAGAAAATTCGACCGTCTCCTAGAAGTATGCGTCCACGACCAAAACATCTCGAAGGCCGGTGACGTAGCGTCCCTCTGCCCAAACGTCCGCAGTTTGGATGTGTCACGCAACCTCTTCTCCAACTGGCGTGAAGTTATACAACTGTCCGCGCAACTGCCGGATTTGACGGAACTTGATGTTAAGTGAGTTAGATATATTTTTTTAATTTTTATAAGATACTAGCTTTTACCCGCGGCTTCGCTCGCGTCACAAAATGATAAAAAGTAGCCTATTTGACATATGACACACAGCGCCATCTATACCAATACTTTTGTTTTCCCTCGGGAATATCAACCCTATTATTTAATCCGGACTTCTAACTTTACGTCTGCAAAAATTCAAAGCAATCGGTTTAGTAGTTACGGCGTGAAGTCGGAACAAACAAACAAACTCACTTTCCGATTTATAATATTAGTAAGGATTGTTTTACATAGTAGGTGATATAAATATTCGACGCACTGAAAATTCTGTCAAACGATATTATACTAAGTGATTATTTTCTTAAACGTTGTTCGATTTAGTTATATTATATCAAACGTTTTTCTCGATCAAAAAAGGATGAACCATTTTATTAGTTTATTATCCAAGTATTAATCTAAAACTTCTTATTTTCTCAGCAAAAACCGTATGGCCATAGACATGTCAGAAGAAACGATGGCACAACTGTCAATCAATTTCGCCAACCTGGAGAAACTAAACATTTCAGTATGCGACTATGAATGGGTTGACATCCTCGCTCTATCACACTTATGGCCGAAATTAAACGAAATGATCGCTGCGTACAACAGAATAAAGACTATAATCCCACCATCAGTTACCCTCAGAACTTTAACAGTATTAAAATTGGATGGAAATCCTCTAGCATCGTGGTACGAAGTCATGAACCTCGGTATGATGAAAAACTTAAAGGTTCTAAGTTTAAACGATTGTCAAATAACTGAAATAAGGTTCAATGAGAACCCCGAAGACAAAGTTGACATTTTTGAAAAATTGGAAGTTCTCTTTTTGAATCGGAACCGGATTAATGACGTGAGTATAGTAACTTTTTTGTTTTAGTGTTGCCATGTTAAAATATTCGATATTTTTGTGAAAACTAATTTTATGAGTAGAATCTATTAAAATGTAGATATAATCACTGCTATGGGTATCGCAAGCGCTGACTAACTTTAAGACTTAAAGCGTGGGAGAGCTATACTTCGGCACGAACGGACCGGCTCGACCGGAGTGATACCACAACAGAAAATTGACGTGAAACAACGCTTTCGTTGTGTTTTTTCTTGTGAGTGAGGTTACCGGATGCCCAATAACCCCCCCCCCCCCTTCACAATCTCCCTAATCCCTGAATCTCTAACAATCCGAAAAATCCTAATTCCCAAAAGCCGGATAACGCACTTGTACCGCCTCTGGTGTTCTGGTTGTCCATGGGCGACGCCGATAGCTTACCATCAGGTGATTCATCACCTCAATTACTGGCATAGCCCATAAAAAAGTGACTACACATAAATTTACATAGACTAAACCAGTGCTCTCTGATAAACCTGAACCTATTAAACTGTGGTATCCAAAGTGATCTGATCTACTAACTGCCTGTACCCCCTACAAAATATTAATAAACTAGCTTTTACCGGCGGCTTCGCTCGCGTCACAAAAGAATAAAAAGTAGCCTATGTGACATATACCAATACACACAGCGCCATCTATACCAATACTTTTGTTTTTCTTTGGGAATATCAATTTTTTCCGGGTTAAAAAGTACCCTATTACTTAATCCGGACTTCTAACTTTACGTCTGCAAAAATTCAAAGCAATCGGTTGAGTAGTTACGGCGTGAAGGTGGAACAAACAAACAAACAAACTCACTTTCAGGTTTATAATATTAGTAAGGATTTTATGTGTTGTTTTTTATTTCAGTGGCGATCTCTAAGTGAACTGAACAAGCTGGCCTGCCTGAAGAAACTCTACTTCCTGAAGAACCCCATACAAGAGACTGAGGACTATGATACTGGATCACAACTTGTTATTGCTAAAATTGATACGCTACAGGTATTTTTTTTTTATTTATTAACACTTTAATGCACACAAAATAAGGTACATAAGGCGGACTTAATGCCATACGGCATTTTCTCCCAGTCAACCTTTGGGTTAAATATAGAGACAGCGAAAATGCGCTTGTGCAATATGCAAAAAAAAAAACAAAATAAATAACTAACAGTAATAATAAATACTGTATAAAAAATAAAATAAAGGTATAAGCTATAATATAAACTACTTTTTATAAATGTTAATTTAATAACATAACATCACGCCTTTTATCCCCGAAGGCGTAGACAGAGGTGCACATTACGGCGATTAATACCACTGTACAATGTAACACCCACTTTTCACTATTTATGTTATAAGTCCCACGTAATAGGGGGTCAGCCTATTACCATATTGCCCATACCGGGCACAATACCAGACTCCGTGCCACTACTGTAAAACAAAACCCAGAAATACTTTGCCCGACCCGGGAATCGAACCCGAAACCCTCAAGTGCGACAGCAGGGCAAGGCTGTCGCACTTGAGACCACTCGGCCAACGGGGTAGTCTTCAATAATTGATACTTAATAGAATCACTAAAAAACTGAATCCACTAGGCACTATCTGAGTCTTCTCAAGGAAAATATATCCAAAAAGCACATGCTAAAACCAGTAGGACCGAGCAACGGTTGAAACTGTTCGACGGGACTAAACAACGGGAGTAGATAGGTAGTAACATTACCTACTTGTCAACGTGTTTTAAAAATAACTATGAACAATAAACTCTCCATTGGGTACTTGCTTTCATCAAGAGTAAATTATTTCGACTGTTCAATACAATAAAATATTTAAAAAGAATCACACTTTCATTCCTTGATTTTATGACCAACTTAATTTTAGTACTTTGCCAGCAAATTTTCAAGAAATAAATATGCTGTTTGACGCCTAAAAAACGTGACGTCACAATACACAATCGTGTACAAAATTCATAGAAAACTGTCGTTTTTGACAGTTAGAAAAAAGTATTGAATTTGACTAGTTGGCAAATACCTATTTATGACTATTGAAATATCTTCATTAAATTTTTCTTCCCAGGAACTAAACGGCTCAACAATAACTCGAGAGCTGCGTCGTGGAGCTGAGTATGACTATATGAAGCGGTACGGAGCTGAATGGAAAGCTGCACAGAGTGACCCGGCCAGCCAACGAGCGTTCAACATAGAACACTGTCGATTTACTGAACTTATTAACAGTGAGTACTACATATTTATTTCCCTCGTAAATAGAGATGGACGATTTTTTGAAAGAATTTTTGAGTATTTGTAGTTTTCCACAATCTTCTCATGGGTATGTCAGTTGACTAAAAAACATTTGACAGAGATGGGTAGCCTAGTAATATAAAAAAAACCCTAGTAAGAGAAAATTAGTGTGCATATTTAGCGAAGTGGCTGGACAATCAGTACCTATGCAAGACGTCGCGGGTGCATCTCCGCACGCAATATTTATTTGTTGTGTACACAAATTCCACATACAATGAATTTGGAAAACAGCGTACTGTACCCCTCTCGTGTAATTTTAAACTTTGTATTTAAACATTAATTATTTTTCCAGAATACGGCATTCCAGACGACAGCCTGCTTGTGAAACAACCCAAAACAATGACGCTCACATCACAGCTCCTAGAAATAATACTACGAGATGAAAACGGCAAGTCATGCAAAAAGAAATTCCCGTCCTCCATGTTTGTGCAAAAGCTGGTCACACTCGCACAAAGACTGTTCCCCAGACCTGGTCACACTGGCCCACCGACGCTATATCTACTCGATGATCAAATGAAAGGAGCCGAAATATGCCTCGACAACGTCATGAAAGATCTCGCCTATTTCTCAGTCAAAAATGGAGACATAATCCTCGTCAAATTCAGATAATTCCACTATTCCTTATTTACCGACTGGCAACACAAATCAAGACGGCCGTTGAATTTAATTGGCGCGCATTTTAAAGTATTTATTTAAAAATCTTACAGAGCTTTGTAAATAATGTTATCTCGAAATTGTACCTGTATTTATGGTGAATATTATTTTTCTCAAAATAAATGTTCAATTATGTATTTTTATTTGTGTCTTTTATTTTACTTTCATCGAAATTCATTTACGTAATGGTTTTCTATTACCAGTCGCCTGTTTGGTAGTTATTGTCAGGATAAAGTTTGTATAATTCGCATGACAGACAAAATTATGAAACAGACACATTCGTTTTAAAAACAGTACCTATTCGTTTAAGTTAATACGATTAAGTTAATAGTTAACTATAATAAGTACATATTCATATTTTTAAATAACTCACTGGAGCCTAGGAGAAAAGTCCTTGGAACATATAAAGAAGATTTATATATTCTGTGGTTAAAGCATAACGTTGTGGTTCCTGTCATATAGGTAGGTCAATTTAGTTAGTTATTGTTCCGAGATTTAAATCTACTATACTACTATATCAGCTGAAAATTTTAGACTTGACTCTAGTATTATAATTGGTTATAATAGTGGTCTATGGCCTTGACCAAGGGAAGTATTATAGTTTACCTACTGTTTAAAAAAATATAAATCAAGTTGCTTAGTAAGTCTAGACGTAATAGTGCTAGCATCTTTTCCACAAGGACTAGCCGTAACGAAAACATACAATCAAGATAATTATAGTAAAACAGATGTGACCTTTCATTTTACAATCGTTATTATAGATTTGTTCAAATACAGCTGTCGCCTTGAGTTACGTTAACTTGTTGATAAAACATATTATTCATTTTATACACAAAGCGCCACTTGGAAGGGCGATTTTTGGGCCAGTGGGCACAAAAATAATACGTAATGCCTGAAGTTAATACGTTTAATTATTATCGTACAAAGCTCAACAAACTGTAAATTAATGCAAATGCGTGATAACTATTTTTTAAATAATCAAATATTATTATAAAATGGAAGGCAGAATGAAAATGAAAGGAAAACAATACTGAATTATTGAACGGACAAAGAGAACAAACCAATGAATAACACTGGCCACATCGAACTCGATCGCTATTGGTAACCGTTGTGTCAACAAAACTTTTTTTGTTTACAAATGGCCACGGGTGACAAATTCAAATTTGAAAGACGTATTTGTGATGTGAAAAGTGATTTTTTATCGTTAATCTAGTTGTACATGTTGTGTTTATTATGGGTAATTGTCTGGGAAGTATTTTTCGGCGTCGAAACCAGCGTCGTCACATCGTCTTGATACTGATAGGCTTGGATAACGCGGGAAAAACAAAAACTGTGAATAATTTGGCCGGCGAGAAGGATGACAAGGTTTTGCCGACTGTGGGTTTTAAAGCTGTGAATTTAGTGCATAAAGATACTCCTGTGACGATATATGATTTAGGCGGGGGCCCTCACTTTCGTCAAATATGGTCTCAGTATTATAGCGAAGTGCACGGTGTGATATTTGTCATCGATTCAAGTGATTTTTCACGGTTGGACGAATGCAGGGCCGTACTTGAAGAGGTGTTATCGCATGACAAAATATCAGGTATGATTTTATTAATATTTTGCAACTATTACCATGGTTACTCTCTGGCTGATTCATGTTTAGATTTGCGTAATGATTTCAATGAAAATGTTTTTAATTTGAAATATTTGTTACATTCGTTATTTGAAACGAAAACCTGGGTACCTATAAGGTTTATCGCAGAATTACCTACTTACGTAGTGCAAAGTGTCAAAAATTCTTTTTTGGCTCTGTATCCAAAACTGGTACACACTTGTAGCATTGGAATTGTTCGGTAAATAGGTGCACATTGTTAAAATTGTTCCTTAAAATAACGACTCCACAAACGGAAGTCAGACTAGATAAAAACTTAATGCCTACTCGATTTTCTATTGTATGTCATAACATAAGCTTATTTCCTAATAAACATCGCCACTTTTTTGGCGTTTTTGCACTGAAATTCTCTTTAAAACGCCAATTTCATAGGTAAAGAGGCCTATCAACTACTTAGATAAGGTAGGTACCTAAATATAGTTACTGGCCACTGACATTTATTCCACAATCAACACGCAAGTTCCCCAGTTCAGGGTCAAGATAGTTCTCAGTATGTCGACCTCGGTATTGTTTCCTTTCTTTCATTAATTCGTTATTTATTAGTCTACGTCTACGGCACACGTTTTGGACACGATAGGCCTATCTTAATTGCCACTTTTGTGGTATTGCAAATTATATTGTGACTTGTGAACTAGGTAGGATTTGTCCATCACCTTTTTCTTGGAAGAATTAAATATTACCAGATGATCATCATCATCAGCATAATCATCATCAACAGCCTATAAATGCCCACTGCTGTGCAAAGCCTCTTCTAACACGAAGAAGGTTTGAGCATTAATCACCACGCTTACTCAATGCGGGTTGGCGATTACAAACTTGTAATTAGATATTATAAGTCCAGGTTTCCTCACAATGTTTTCCTTCGACGTTTGTCAGTGGTGTCCAGATAATCTTAGAAAGTACATATAACTCGCAAAAAGTCACATTGGTACTTGCCGTTGGTAGATTTCGAAAACGCACCCTCATGCTTTAAAACGCGGGCGTCTTAAACCTCCGGGCCACCACGACAATTAAAGGTACCAAAAGTCTATTCTATCATCGTCCAGTTGCCGTCTACTGCTGGACATAGGACTCTATGCCAACCACCAAGCTCGATCATCAGATCTTCGCATATAGCAGACACAGTGTTCTTTGCACTTCAGCTTATCTCCCGAAACCTTTTAAGACATGTCAATAAAAGTCTGACAGTCGCAGTTAGATGAGCATATGTTCTACGCCATTCCCCTTCGCCCTTCCATAGACGGACATGTTTTTCTAAGGTGGATAGCATAATTTGCTTCTTTAGAACCTAAGCCATTCTTCACTAAACAATTGTGTCAATCCGTTACCTCAAGTTTTTTAATGAAATTCAGTACCTACCTATGTCAATCAATTTCCTTCGCATGCTCAGTTTAACGACTTCCGAGGTTTTAATGCGATTTTATGTTTATTTTTCTTTGAGATTAACTGTTACCTAGCCAACGACTACGATGTACTTAGATAGCTAAAGCTGAGATACGACTATGATAATCTTTTTTTTAAGGAGGGAAAATCATCGAATGACTTCTCTCACCTGGGTGAGGCGGGAGGGAGTGTCAGACTCTTACTGACTTAAAACCACCCCGTTCCTACTCATGCACTTCGAGCCGGAGCCCCGGTAACCCGTTGGGTTCTCCGACAGAGATATTTTTAGATATATTATTAGATAATTTGATATTGAGTGCAAGACGTCTACCCATAAAGATGACAGACGACCTGACGAAGGTCGCAAGAAGCAGCTGAATGCGGGTCGTTTCCAATCGACCCATCTTGAAGTCATTGGGAACGCCTAATGTGAAGCAGTAGACGTCTGACGTCTTATGGTCAATATTATGATGGATTGATGACTCCAATGTCTTCCAGATAGCCCCGTTGGAAGCGACTGGCATTATTACCTTTACCTAAAGGGTCAGGATTCGCTGACAACTTAAAAGTTTACCGGGGCTTCAGCTCGGAGCAGGATTAGTTTTTAGTCAGTAAAAATCTGGCCCTGGCCTAGCCTCTCGGCTAAGCAAAAGCGGAAGGAGTCATTGGATAATTTTCTTCTCTCAAAAAAAAACCTAAAGGATTCTTCTATTTTTAATTTAATCTACAGCTAAACAGTCTAACACGAGTAGTATGACTCATGTAACACAAAATTAATTAGATAAAGCTTTAATTAAATTGCTTATCAGTTACTGACTAGTGGAATAGGTGCACACGGCAATACATCAAGCTATACTAAACCACTTTATTATGATCTCACATTGTTTCGTCTTTCCGGACATTCGACGGTCAGTTTATACTGGTTTAGCCTAGTTTTATGTGTGTGTGTACATAAGGGGGCTAGTTTGTATTTATCGAGTCACCATACCGTGACGGTTACCGTGGTTAATATCGTAATTCGTAAATAAATTACACATACTATGTTTGTTCGAGTACCGATACCTAGTTGTAAAATTGTAGATAAGTGGGTAATACAGGCTAATAGGTACTTTCTATAATATTTGCGTTGAAAAAAATATCTATAAGTTGAGTACTTTCCTAATATTTGTTCTTGGAAGGTTATTCAATATCAACACAATGATAATGATACAGTGGTTACTGCGATTTCAGTTTGGTTTAGATGATGCAACTGACTGATAAATCGACTGATGATTCAAGCGTGAGCCATGCTTCGGCACTAATGGGCTGGCTCGACCGGAATGATACACAGATTCACAGAAAACCGACGTGAAACAACGTTTGCATTGTATTTCGTCGTGTGACTGAGGTTACCGGAGACCCAAAGCTATCACTCCTCCTTCCCCAATCGCTGAATCCCCAACATTCCTCAAATTCCTAATCCCCAAAAGGGCGGTAATGTACTTGTAACGCCCCTGGTGTTACAGGTGTCCATGGGCAACGCCGGTTGATTACCATCAGGTGATCCGTCTGCTCGTTTACCGGCTTATCCCATATAAAAGTCGCGGAGAACCTAACGGGTAACCGGGGCTCCGGCTCGACGGGCAGGAGAAGGAACGGGGTGGTTTTTAGTCAGTAAGAGTCTGACACTCCCTTCCGCCTCACCCAGGCGGGAGTAGTCATTCGATGATTTTCCCCCTTAAAAAAAATCCCATATAAAATCAATGAAATGAAATGTAGTAAGAATAAAATGCGCGAAAAATACCTAGGTCGGGCCAAGTAGGTAGTAGGCATGATGGGCATCAGAGAGAAAAGAGTGGACTTAACTGGTGTTACATTTTTTTTAAACGTAACCACACTATGATTTTCTCCTGTCATTTAATCTACATAAATATTATGTTCTCATCAACCATTTTTTGCTAAATATAAAAGTATGACGTTAAGTATAACGTTGAGTCCATACGAAAATCTGTAAGAATCAACAACAACAATAGTTTGTATCTGAATTTGAGTATTAACGTAACATTCAGCTTAGCACCAGACTTGGCATAGGCTTCAGGCGTTAATCTAGTTACCTGCATCATGAACTCTTTATACCAAGTCATGGCCAGTTCTTTATCGTGTTGTAATAAATAAATCTAGACTCATACTGCATATTTTATTTATTTATTTATTTATAATTTCATATACCTACACCACACAGACAATATTACAAAGGACGACACATTACAAGTATGAGGTACATAGGTACATAGGCATAATGATGTTCTTGGAATGTTATCCCCGGTTTCCATGACGGCTGGCAGTAGGAATTGGTTTCCAATCATGTTAATGGTTAATGGGACTGCCTCGTTGGCCGAGTGGTGGCAAATGCGACTTCCGGGCAAGGAGTCTCTGGTTTGATTCCCGTTTCAGACAAAGTATTAATAGGTTTTTTTTTTAATCAGTAGTAGCACGGAGTCTGGAATTGTGCCCGGTATAATAATATGGCAATAGGCCCGGTATATTACATGAGACTCATAAACATAAATAGTGAAAAGTGGGTCTTACATTGTACAGTGCGTTAATGTGCACATCTGCCTACCCTTTCGCCCCTTCGGGGATAAAAGACATGATGTGGTTACAGTAACTACTGTTATGAGGACGGAGCTCGTGATTTAGACACTCTTTTGTCCATGAAGGGGTAGGGAAAACTGCAGATATACCTATTGGATACTAGCTACCCGCGACTAAGTCCGCGTAGAATATATATTTTAGAACATAACATTTTTGCTTTGTTTTAAATTTCCAAATTAAACTGTCAAACACCAAGCGGTCACCGGTGACCGCAACCTATTGTTCTTTAATTGTGTCTATAAATACGGTACTCGACGAGTTAAAAGAAGCTTATGTTACTCCTTAGTACTTCAGCTACCTGCCAATAAGTCTTGCAAAATCGGTCCAGCCATTCCAGAGATTAGCTAGTACATACACACAGACAGGCAAAAATCGTAAAAAATAGTATTTTGGGTAGTGTATCGAATGTAGGTATATTCATAAGCATGTCGCATGTAGCGGCCATTTTAATTTTATTTATCTGTAGGTATAGATACAATGCTTAACATACTCTTATCATCTTAGTCCTGTGTAATACTAATAACCCACTATTATACCTATTCCGTACACACCAGATTCCCAGTTATTTCTGAGAAACGAAATACCAGAAAACGCTAGTAAGTTAACGGTAACTTAGACTAATCTAGGAATAGGGTAGATGACTAATTTTTATTTGGGTACCGTCATTATAGACACAATTAAAGAACAATAGGTGGCGGTCACCGGTGTCCTCGCGGTGTTTGACAGTTTAATGTCCGTCTGGTAGATTATTTAAAAACATTAGACACGCAATTTTTATTTTCTTACGAAGATATATTGATTTGAAATATGGCATTACGTCGCTTTTGAGTACGATTTATACTCTAAAATGACGTAGCTACCTCCCACTCCTAAACTTTGATTCGTTTTATCTAAGTACTTACTTATACGACAAAATAAAAAAATACGTGTCTAATATTTTTTAATTACCTAACTGACGGACTAATTAGATTTTTAATTTTCATACCCTGTCATCATCCCTAATAAGCCTGAGGCCCCACTCGATGAGGATCACTTGATCACTGAAGCAATAACATTTTCCAAGTAACGGAATGAAAATGACGCCCATAAGCTTTCCAATTTAGCTGAAAATGTTTGTAGACCTGTCATGGTGTGTCATAGTGTTGTTGGAAATACAATTACGTCACTCAAAGACCTTCGGTTTCAGTCAGTAAATACTTAATTACTATGTTATTAGCATGAGTCAATTGGCAGGTGTTCAATCATTGTAATGAATATTATTTATTTTGAAGACAATCAGTGAGTTTTGTTAAGTGACGTCACTGTTTTGAAGAAATAGGGGTGTGGAAAGGCAATCTCCATTTAGTTAGATCTGGGATGGCGAACCATTGGCACCGAACACACTATTTTGGGCACGTCATTAATCACAAAATCTGTCCTATCTCGTTATTTTGTTTTTCAGATATTACGTTTAACAAACTTAAAAATAACATAACATAACATCACACCTTTTGTCCCCGAAGGGGTAGGCAGAGGTGCACATTATTCCACAGTACAATGTAACACCCACTTTTCACTATTTATGTTACGAGTCCCATGTAATAGGGGGTGAGCCTATTGCCATGTACAATTCCAGACTCCGTGCTACAACTGAGATTTTTTTAAAACCCAGTAATACTTTGCCCGACCCGGGAATCTAACCCGATACCCCTTGCCCGGCAGTCGCACTTGCGACCACTCGACCAACAAGGCAGTCTTAAAAATAGTTAATAAATATTTTAATGGTACATGTAGGACCTCAAAAACTATATTTCTCAAAAACTATTGACGTGTAAAAGTGCTGCCTTGTAGCCTATTTGCAGAAATAAATTCACTTGTTTCACTTGTTTCACTTGTTTCACTATATGTTATATAATGGCGTCGATACGTAAAGGTTCGCCATCTCCGAGTTAGATGATGAACAATATTTAGACAAGTATGAAAGATAACTTCTTAGACAATGTCAGATGTGATTCTAGTAAAAAAAATTGTCCGCTCCTCTATGGTCTTTCCAGGCCGGGTTGCAGACCGTAGTCTTAAATTTAGGTTTATCAAAGAGCGCGTGACTAAAATTCATAAAGAATCGAAGGTTCAGCTTACATTAACACGTGAGATTTTTATTTGATACAGCTATAAACAGTTTAACATTCAACCTTATGCCAACCCTTGACCTATGAAAGCTTGTTTCTATGTGGTTTTCTAACTAATCAGTAAGTCACTACCTCGTTCATGCAGTGGCAAGCAAGAGGTGTCAGGGTCGATTACTGCTAGGCTATTTATTTTTTTGTTTTTAGTAAGTTATTAGTATAAAGCGTTAAGCGTGTCTTTGCATTGTTCTTACATATGCGTACAGTATTGAAATATGTATCAGAGACATTGTAGAACATACTTTTTTTTTTAAAGAGTAACAAATGGAGTTTCTTGCTCGTTCTTCTCCATTCGAATCTACATTTTGGAATGAGCACCTAGCTTCACCTAGTTTAACTGACGGACTGACTGACAGACTATTATTTATTTTGTATTTGTTGACGTTTCAAAAGTACCAAACTACGGTTTAATTGAAATAAATGCTTTGACTTTGCTATGCTGCAACTCAACTAAATTTAAATCTAAATTGCTGATGTCTTGTTCGTCCGCGAGTCACTTAAGGGGCCAGTAGAATACCAGCGCAAGGCCCTGTCTTGCATATGCTGAACTGGTCCTATTTAACCCCAGACTTGGGACATGAACATGTATCCATCAGTACCTACTAAATAGAATAACACATTTGTACATGTCACTTGTTTTTTAGCGTGTGAAATAAAGTTTGTTTTCTTTCTTTATTTCAAATTTCAATTCGAAAAATCGAAATCAAAATGTTATAAATCTACTCCTTGTCCAAGTCCTCCTCTCAGATTTCACATTAGTACCTACATTTACTTCGCCCGAAACAGCTAGGCTAATCTAATGTGAGAGGTGGAGTGTAGGTAGTACTAATGTGAGATCTGAAAGGAGGACTTAGACATGGAGTAGGTCTTTAATATTCTGATCTTATACTTCTGAATTAGTCATAAGGTACCTCCTTCTGTAGCAAAATTCCAACTTGTGAGGATGTATGTATCTTTGTTAGTTTAGGTTAAAGGACTTTAGGATCGTATCTGATATATTGAAAGAAAGAAAGAAAAGAAAGAAAACGCCTAAAACAAACCCTAACCCTGCAAAATCTAAAATAACTCATTAATAGTAAGACCCCATTATGCTAAGCGGTCGCGGTGGCGGTCGCTTCATCAACGATTATTAATGTCTACAAACATGTCATTCATAATATTATGTTAATATTTTTTGTCTCCTGATCAGGCAAACCAGTGCTAGTTCTAGCGAATAAACAGGACAAAACCGGGGCCTTGGACGATATCGATGTGGTGGACAAACTGAACATCGAACCTCTTGTTAATAAGTAAGTTTGTTTTAAACATCATTATACTAATGCAATTAAATAGTGTCCTAATTTTCTCCCATATCTTTTAAACAGTTTATCGTAAAAGTTCAAATAAATAGTTTGTACAAATCTAATGCGAAAATACCATGAAAATGCAGCGTGCTAGGTTTAAGGCTCGCAGTATTTCACTCTACATAAATATTTCATGTGTCTTCGCAGGTACAGATGTCCAACTCTAGTCGAATCCTACAGCGCTTTCACAGAACACCTAAATAATAAAAAACCGAAAATAGATCCAGGATTGCGTAAAGGCTATCAATGGCTGCTAAACTACATAGTACGACGTTACGGCGATATCAATTTGCGCGTACAGACGGACATACACGCAGATCTAGAACGACGCAAACGGATGCTGAACAAAGCTTCGAACACGACATCACAGACTTTCACGGCTGAAAGTGATGACATAGCCACACAAACTGGCTTTGAAAACCCCAATTATGACATAAAAAAATCGACTAAAATCGACAATGATGGAGTACAAGGCGTGATAGTCGTCAAACCGATTAAGCACACCTCTGACAGTATCGATTCTACTATAACGATTGAGAGTGTCGAAGAATCGGAAGCGACTAGTGTTGCCAAACCGAAATTGTCCCCGCTTTTTGGAAGAGCCAGTAATTCCACGGTGGAGACTGTTCGAATAGAGCTGGAGCCAAGGAATGAGTTCAGGAAGTTGTCTCCGATAGTCAGGAATAAGAGCGGCGCGAATCAACACATCAATTTCCAGAACAGACCGCAGTCCAGTCCTACTTCCATCAAGAAGCAGATGAAGGTAAGATATCAAGATCCTAAAATGCCTTCATTTAGCTCACTGGTTCCTAGTGAACCGGGGGTCTGGTCCAGAAGGCATAAATAATTATGATGAGCGGATTGAAAAAAAAACTTAACAACAACATTTCTTTCCAATATCTACGGTTAAGGCTTTGATTCTTACTGATTCTTATTATCTAATAATCAATATATTTATTACAACGAACCCGACAACCTTGGAAAAAATCTTTATGTGGAAACACATGAAGAAAAGTTATATAATATAACATAAGATCACGCCTAGGCAGAGGTGCACACAGAAGTAACACCCACTTTTCACTATTTATGTTATGAGTCCCATGTAATAGGGGGTGAGCCTATACCGGGCACATTTCCAGACTCCGTGCTATTACTGAGATTTTAGTTTTTAGTAAAGTAAAGAAAAGTTATATGTAGTAGGTAATTTCGGTTCCTATCATCTAAAATGATATAAAAGTGGTCCTTGATCAAGAAAAGCTTGGGAACGCTGTAAATGAACTGCTGGTCTTTAATATCCTAATCGGGGGATTAGGATCAGCTCGAAATACTCAAACCAAAGTAAGAAAATAAGTTATCTTAACTAATATTTTCTAAAACTCAGGTGGAACCATCAAGCAAGAACACATCACTACAAGACGAAGATTTGAAACCGGATGGTGACCTGACGATCTACATGGGCGATCGGAATCGGACCTGGGACGGCTCGGAGAAGAAACAGACGGTGCTCGTCAACGATGCTGAACTGTCACTGATGCATCGTGAAATTGTGCTCAATGAGAGAGGTAAGCAGTAGAGAGAAATCTGTAGTATCTGCTGAAGTGGTGCTCTGAAGATTGTAGAACACAATAGTGTGGTAGATTGGAAAATATGTAACTAATCATCAAAGTGTGGGACAGCTATGCTTCGACACGAATGGGCTGGGTCGACCGGAGTGATACCACGGCCCCACATAAAACCAACGTGAAACAACACTTGCGTCGCCTTTTGTTGTGTGAGTGAGGTAACCGCAGGCCCAATAGTAGATGTAGATGTGGATGTAGATGTAAGGGAGAAGTTCGAGCTGGTAATCACCAAAGACGTAGATTTATTATCTACGACTATAATGTTGGTATTATAATGTAGGTATTATATGAAAATTGTGGTCAACCAGTTTCTACCGCTAAAACTTGGCCAATTTCTACCGCTAAACGCCCATAAATTATAAGTCAACGATCATATCATTTAAAGTTGCAGTCACAAAAAAGCACATTTACCTTCCAGACTACACAAGCAAGACAGCATACTCGGAGGTGACCCTCCAACCGGCCACGTTGCCGCTGAGTCCCCGACCGGCCTCCGCCTCGCAGCTGGTCAGGAGGCAGCTGGAACTGTGCGGCCAGCATAAACGGCGTCTCAGTCTAAGATGTAAGTAGCCTAAAGTAGAACCTGTTATACATTGTTATTACTAATGGAGGTATTGCTACCGTATTCTGCTCATCAGGTGGTATCAATGTAGCATGTGTCCAATCACTGTCAAAAATTAATCAAGGCATTAGCAGATTAGCTAGTTTATTGCCGGAATACTGAAACGTTACTCAATTTTAAGTCGTGCTTAAATATCTGTTATTTTACAAATGACAGAGACGGCACGTGAATACTTAAGCGCGACTTAAAATTGAGTAGCGTTTCAGTATTCCGATATAAGTTAGGCTTAATTCATTCTGTGTCCTGCAGTAATTCACCGAGGGAAGTGGAAACTATCGTTTTTTCTTCTCCTCTTGTAATATCTTCTCATTTATTTCGTTGCGGGAATCAAGTCAGTTATTCATGTCACGTGAACACAGTTCGCATAGTTTTGCTTTGGAATCTTTCCAGTATTTCTATGTTGCTACTGCTAGCTGAACTCCAGAGGCGATTGCCGTATGTCCGTCTGTCCTGTCAGGCTTCAGTATGGTTTTATGGATGGTCATTTTACTGATGTTTGTCAGATGTGATTTGCGTCCGATTAGCCAGTATATGCTGCGGAGTCAGTCTAATTGTTTCCTTTTAGTCCAGATGTGTTTGCACCAGGTAAGACGGCGACCTAGGTGCATTCACATGTATATGGCGTCATCTTGTTGAGGGACGACATTTTCATGAACCGAGAAGACTGCGGTATCATCTGCATATCTCGCTGTGGTGGTGTAGCTAACAGTGTGTTGATCTGCTGTGAAAATGAGATAGAGGACTGGTCTCAGGATACTACCCTGTGGAACACCCGAATAGATCTCGTAAATTTGTAACGAGTCGGAATTTTGTCTCACTTTATGGCACCTTTCCACTAGGTAGGATTTTAGAATTGGAGAAAGAAGGAGTGTGGTAGCAATTTTTTGATTTTATGGCGTAGTCCTTTATGCCATACTTTGTCGAATGCCTGACTAAGATCCAGAAAATTGCAGCAGTATTGTTTGTTTTCCGATGCCCTGCTAATAATATCTACCAGTTTGCGCACTTGCTCGATAGTCGGTGGTCTTCTCCAAATCCGAACTGGTGACTTGGTATTACTTCCCTTAAGAGTTGCTGCATTCTATTCATTATGATTTTTTCTATTTAACTTTCCAATAATCGGTAGGAGGCTTATCAGTCTGTACGAAGCTTCTTGAGCTGGTTTACCTGGTTTTAAAATCATCATAGCCTGTGTGAGATTTTCCAATTGCTGGGATAGTGGGGCAATCTTAGACATGCGTTAAAATAGTTAGCAAGTATGTTCAGAGCTCGTTTTTTTTTGGGAGGTGTTTTAATAGGGTAGCGTTAATTTGATCAAAGCCCGGGCACTTCTTGGAGTTTTCTAATTTCCTGCTTCAGTTATTTCGGTGTGATATGTTTTAGAAGTGAACACATTTGTGTAGGTGAGCTGAAGTATTTTTCTATTTCACTATCATGATGTTGATTGTTGCTAGGAAATTGTTTGAAGACTTTTTGAAGGTGTCGTTATGCTCAACTCTGACTGTATGTATACCTTCTCATAGTCGGACCGAGTCCAGTTACCCATGTGTGTTTTTAGGAGTGTTGCTTGCTGTGTCGGACGCTATTTTTGGTAGCCTTCCACAAGGAATATTTTGTGTCACTAGTAGAAGACATTGTAGGTTCTCGTTTTTTATTTATTTGATTAATGTTTTGTGTTTTTGGGAAGCTTCATCGGTTTTATCTTTAGGTTTAATCGCGGTTTTATCTTCAGGGTAGTGTATCGTGCCAGATTCTCTACAGTTGTCGTCTATCATTTATGCAATCTTTGATGATAGCGGTATGGTTGTGTTCTTTTGCTATTTTTTTATTACGATGGGGTGTGGATCTTATTGTTGCATCATAGATGAGGAGGTTTAATCCTTCTATAGCCTCTTCTACCTAATCGATTGTTTTCAGGCATATTTTGAGCTGTGTCTTTGCTGTAATGATATTTTGATATTTTCCCCAGTTTGTATGCTTATTGTAAATTTTGTATTATACTACTGTTGTTTGATCTTACCGTGTACGTTAAGAAGCGCGGCAGAGTGGTCTGTGATAAGGTCGAAATTGGATTCGACACTGGTATTACTGAGTGCGATATTTTTGGAGACAAAGAAGTCCAGCAAGACAGGAATTTTTTGGGGATCTGTCGGTAGGTTCGCCTGTGGATATACAATCGAGGTTGGTCTTGTAGAGATGTCTTCACCGGGTAGCCTGAAGCCCCAGAATAGGTGTTTGGCGTTCCTGTCCAAAATCTTTCGTGTTTTCTGTGATTTCTGTCTTTGGTTCATAGTTTTTATCAATGGTTCGTCTAGAAATTCCGGATGTATGTAGATAGATCGGTGGACCTTATAAGTAAGGTCCACCGAGTCTGTCTGTCCGACCAGACCGAGACTGTCCAAGAAGATTTTATAAGAAGGATGGTCAAGACTTTATATTAGATATGCAGGGTCATTCTCGGTTCTGGAAGATTAAGCATAAATGATTTCTATGTTTTACAGCTGGAGCTAACACCAGCTAGGTTTTATTCCATTTCACCTTGTAGTCATATTGTCCCAGACATGCAACGTAACAAGACAAGTCCGGAGCGTGTCTCCATGATGATCTACGAGCCGACGAAGGCGGCGCAGCGACACCTCGACAAGGGGGACTTCGACCATTCCGCCACCATCAACTGATTGTGTGAGTAACTACATTCACCTTAGTTGTACGAACCAAAAAGACCAAAAAATTCACGTACAACTTAAAACAATAATACATGATGACACACACACACACACACACACAGACACACACACACACAGACACACACACACACACACACACAAACACACACACACACACACACACACACACACAAACACACACACAAACACACACGCACAAACACACACACACACACACACAGAAATCATGTACAAGATCGAGCGCACCTCAGTACTTAGAAGTTGCTATGGGCCCTATGTTTCAATAAACCACTACTGAATAGTGAATGATTACCCTTTAGTCATTTACGTGTTTAAGGAAAGGTCTATTTTTTACTTTTTACATAATACGTCGGCAAACGAACAGATCTGAGGCCTTAGTATGAGTTTGTTTCATATTTACAGTAATCGAACGTTCTGATTGGCCGGCTCCTTTTGTTAAATAAGCCGGTAAACGAGCAGACGGATCACCTGATGGTAAGCAATCATTGCCGCCCATGGACACCCAAAACACCAGGGGTGTTAACTTCTCTGTTTTTTATTGGGAACATCCGATGAATTTGCCACGAGTCTCGCAGGTTCTATTTACGCCACTGCTCTGATGGTAAGCAAACGGCGCTGCCGTTAGACTGCCGAGTTACAAGTGAGTTACCAGCATTTCAGGGATAAAGTATGGGGTATGAAGTGCAATCCCGAAATCCCCGCTCTGATGGTCTGCTCTATGCCATAAAAAAATGTTCTAATTTGTCAAATAAGTTTATATTCATTGTTACAGGAATACAAAATCTGAAATGGACGTTTACAGTACAATATCTAGACTTATATATAAAGTAGTCATTTTTATATAAAATAAGAAAATAATAATAATATATTGTTCACACAGGGTATGTAACTGTAGATGTAGCATATAAAGGTGCTCTATAAAATTTGTACTGAGCAAAACACCCCAATATTTGTTAAACCCTTTAGTTTTACGCATATATATAAATACCTAATAAAATATATATCATATATAATATAAATATAGGTCTGTATATGGAAAGTATACCCCTTAAATTTATGGGTAGGGGGTAATACACAAATCTTTGATAAAGACGTGTTTTTTTCCGAAAATTTCTTTATATATATGTGGAGCTAATGCCTTATTGTTTGCTGCCACAGTGTTATAAAAACTGTTGATTAAAAGATGATTTTGATTGTCTACAAATAAAGGTACAGTTCATTTTTATTACACAACTAAATAAAAAATCTTTAAAACTGTTTGTATTGTAGTTGCAATGAAAATTAAGAAGAAGTAGGTATACTGAAATAGACCGAATACTCAAAGGCTACAAAATTTTAAGTTGTACTTGTATACAAATGATTTGTAGTGAGTATAAAGCGCGACTTAAAATGAGTGACGTTTGAGTATTTGGACATTAGAGCTTTATTTGTTCGTTGATTAACATACTTTTCTAAATTTTTATAATAATTATCGTGAGACCTACTTACTAAATTAACTAAAAATCGCGGGTTACTCACGTGAATATACTGAGAAAAGCTGTAGCTGCAGGCTGGGCGTAATTGCCGCGACCGCGCACGCGGCTCTGTGGTTCGAAAACTAGTAGAGCTTTTCTCAGTATCTTCACGTGAGTAACCCTCGATTTTTAGTTAATACTTTTCTAAATTACTTTTTTTAAGTTAAACGTTAAACATTGATTTTCAGGAAAAGTTTATAAAGAGTTTTCCTAATTGTCAAATTGGATTGAATGTTGCTTCCAGTAAAATCGCTGTTTGTCGCCTATTATAGCTATCTATATACCTATTGTTTTATATATGATGGTTTTTAATTGGGACTGTATAAATTCCTATAAATATACTAGCGGACCCGACAGACGTTGTCCTGCATATCCACTTGAATGTATAAACAAAAATTCATTCAAATTAGTTCAGCCGTTTAGGATAACCAACCTAGAATCCGACTGCAGCGCCATCTGCCGGGCTGATTTGTGAATCTAAACCACCCACAGGGCGCCACACAAACGCATACAGAAAAAATCATTTAAATCGGTCAAGCCGTTTAGGAGGAGTTCAATGACATACACACGTACAGCAGAATTATATATATAAAGATTGTATGAATATCTAAAACTAGTCAATTTATGACAAAAAATTAAGTTGTCATATAACACAGATACTACTTAGGTACTTATTTAAAAAAATCTAATGACTGTAGTGTTTTGAAAACTGGGCTAAAAGGACCTTTCACCTCACCAGCGCCGTCTGGTGAGTACAAAATTAAAACTCTTTTGGACAAAAAGTTATTATATCGGGTCGATAGCTAAAAATATTGTTATGTTATAAAAATATCGCATTTAAAGGATTAGCATTACTAAAAAAATATAATATAATATAATTGTATAAATAGGCCAGGCTATAGTATATATTACATAAATATATATTTAGTTATAGATTAAAGCGAAATTATATCGAATAGAAATAATTTAGTTTTGTATTTTGTACCTATTACATGATAATAAAAGTTGTGTTATGAACTTGATGTTTCATTTACTTTAACCTGTGAAGTGTCGGAATCCAGATCTAAGCGAGACACAATGTGTCTTCTATTGTATCTCATATATAAAAGAAAGAAAGAAAAGAAAAGAAAAACCATTTATTTTGCTACGACACACGACAAGAATTTTAGAAACACAAAAAAAGCCTATAAGTGCGTCGCAGCGCAAAAGGCTCTCTTTTACATCGACAGACTAGAGGTTAACGGGTGACTGCCCCGTTGGCCGAGTGGTCGCAAGTGCAACTGCCGGGCAAGGGGTCTCGGGTTCGATTCCCGGGTCAGGCAAAGTATTACTGGGTTTTAAAAAAAATATTAGTAGTAGCACGGAGTTTGGAATTGCGCCCCGTATATGGCAATAGGCTCACCCACTATTACATGGGACTCATAACATAAAAATGGCACGGTATTTAAGTACAAGTTAAATTTGAGTAGCCTGTTTGGGCGTTAGCCTCTTATATAAGCTCACCTCAGTCTGTTTAGGTCCACGATCAATTCATGGTGATCAAAAGTACAGGAATTAAAACTAAAAGGTCTCAGATAGGACAGTGTCGAGTAAATATTAGGACCTGGATGACCGATCTTTGCTCAGTATTCCATTCTCAGTGCATAATTTTTTAACATACAAGGAAAAAATATTGAAAGCAGAAAAAAAACGATAAATCTATGTACCTGTTTAATTTTTAACAAGAAAGTGAATATCTAAAGCAAAAAAATTAAAGGAACATTCACACCAAGGTTTGACCTCGTACCTATGTCTTGCGAAGCAGGCGACCGCTTTCCCTACTAAGTTATTTTAACTTCATATGTAATGGCGTTTAGCTTCGTATTCTAATAAGGATTTTTAAAGGTATTCGATTTTAATTTCAAATCCTCCAGTCAAACTCTACTATAATAATAATACAACTGGCGAAAACTAGTTCATTGTGACGATAACTACTATTTGCTTTTAACACCATTAGTTATGGCTTTGTGCAATTTGTTTTGCCATTATGATTCTACCACGTTGCGTCGTAGGTTCATGGGAGAATAATTCATAATCTTTCGATTGCCAAAGAAAAAAATCATAACGTTTAATATTACTTTTTTACTTAAAAATATATATTTGTGCATATAATTTTTTAAACGACTGCCTCGTTGCCCGAGTGGTCGCAAGTGCGACTGCCGGGCAAGGGGTCTCGGGTTCGATTCCCGGGATTCGGGATTCGGGCAAGGTATTACTGGGTTTTTTTTTTAAATCTCAGTAGTAGCACGGAGTCTGGATTTGTGTCCGGTATATGGCAATAGGCTCACCCCCTATTACATGGGACTCATAACATAAATAGTGAAAAGTGGGTGTTACATGTACAGTGGCATAATGTGCACCTCTGCTTGCCCCTAAAGTGGGCCCAGCACTGCGCCAAAAGAATATCTAACTATCATCACGGCAGATAAGTGAAAAAGAAAACAACAAAATAAGTGTACAATTGTTTATTTTATTTCCATAGTAATATTCATATTCATAATTGTTATTTTTGATAAATTATTCAGATATTTATGGCAGTGTCTTGTGGTAACCTTTACGTCTTATTTTAATTCTTATAAATCTACAATTACGTTACAAAAATCTGAATTTACTTGTCACAGAAATTGCACAAAACGGAAGACGAATTTTACAGAAAAAAAATATCAAAATAATAAAACACATCTAAAAAATGTACTTAATTTTCTTTAACATTAGTAATAAATATTTATTATATCATATAATAATATACCAAAATTTACACACCAATTTAATTATCTATATACAATATTTTATTATTATAATACATGGATTGATAACTTCTTATTTTCTTACTACGTATAATACCTAAATATATATATATCTAAATAAATTAGTATAAAATTTAACTAAAATATTTTGAAACAAAACACAAGTTTTTTCATAGTCTTAATTTATTCTAAGGAACATAGAAAGTGAATATTTATTATAATAATATAATATACAACATTTTTTGTTTGAAATCATAAAGCACTTGTTAAGGGACTTTTAAATAAGGATACAGTTCAAGTTTACTAGGTATATAGGCTATATTTCATAATGCACATAGCATCGGCATATCGGTGTATCAATACGGCACACAGGAATATAAATATTATGTTATATATATTAAGTCCTATGTGGCTCTTACTATATATATATATTATTTATACATATAAAAGTGCGTGTGTTTGATTAATTGGCTTTCTTTCATGAGCCGCTATGGGGCATTTTTTTAGTATATATTATATAATGAAGATTTACCATACAATAATAACAACTCCTATTCAAAAGTCCCTTACAAAGTAACGTGCTAATATAAATATTTTTACATAAAAAATATAAATATTACGATTATGACAGTCGACTAGATTTACATCGAGTTTTATATAAAAAAGAAAT